CAGTTGAATGTGATCAGAGCGGCGCTACCGCGGGTTATAGCCTTTGATGTTCGGTTCGAGATGTTTCCATGTTTAACTGTCTGTGTATAGGCCGTAGCTTTCATATTTAACAAGCAGCGAACACTGCTTTCGAAACTCGCTAGAAAGGGGAAGTCAAGCATGCCGATTATTCATGTTATCACTTTACCTAAATGACCATAGTGCTATAATAACTGTATGGGGAAAAATAATTTCCACCGCTTACTATAGTCCAAGCGTTAAACTGAGGTTACCTCTATTAGTTTTTATTTTTTGGCGTAAAGCTGTCTTCCAATAGGCGAATTTATTCGCGAAAATTGCGAATTTTCGCTTATACACATGGGCAGTTAAATTTTCAACTACGAACTTCCTTACTGCGCATGTTTATAAGAAAAAAAATGGCGATTCCCCCAAATAAATTTTCCTCAGAAAACAGCAAGGGTGATAATTGTCATTAATTACTACCAGAAACAGGACACGTCACATAAGTGGCGCGGTCGGTTAACGCTGTGTTGTAAGAAACAGAAGATCGGTGCATCGGTGTTTATTTATTTATTTATTTTGAATAAATAAACATTCTAAAATATTTCAGAGCTTTTTGACAAAACAATTAATTGGAAAGGCTAATAAGATAAATAATTAGAATGTTCTTTTGTACCAATTGAGAAAATAGAATGTCTTATTAAAAGAATTGAATACCAAGACGCGATTCGAACTCACGACCTTTGGTCCTTAGAACACATTATTAACCCGGCCGCGCAATCCATGCGGCATGTCCAATTAGTGGTAATGGCAGTAATGCACAGTCCTTGCTGAAACCCCTGTTTTGTGGGTGTATGGGCACCCTGGGGTTCAAATTTAAAAAGGGCCACGTCCGTTCAAAATTGGCGACGCTGGACGTTTTTAAAGTTCTGATAACAACAACAATTCAATTCATGTTTAGTTTAAGGAGTAGGTTTAGTTCAAGGATTAGACTTTTTGTGTTCTTATTTTTCTTCTCTTTTCTTTATTTTTTTACTTTTTATTTTTTTTGTGTTAATGAATAAATCAAAGGGGGATCTTTTAAGGTTTTTACATTGAATTCACAGTCGTAGAGGCGTTTACAGTAGCTTCAAGTTTACATCATTCCACATTATCGTCTGGCTAACTCCCTACTATTTAAAAAGATGTAAATGATTTCTTTAAAGTGCACATGAGCCACACGCGTACACTATTTTAAGTCCTTATCCGAGAAGACTTGGTTCTCCAACCGAACCATGGGCGAGGAGCGGCTGGAACCAGCGCCGATGTTAAGGCTGTAGCTAGCGGCGCCCCTGCCTTACCTCGGCTACTCGACTCGCCCAAAGTTGATTGATCAGTTAATTAGATTGAATAATTGATCGATCAATTGATTGAAAAAAAATTAATTGCTTAATTGCTTGACTGATTGGATCCAACGGGTGGGAAGCGCCCTTTATATCATTTAGTATTTTAACTCCATTGCCTCTTAGCCACACGACTCACCTAAAGTATTTATATGCACTAAGGGTGTGTCAATCTAGCCCGGCTCCGCTTCTCAGTCATGATCAAGAAAATATAGATGCATTTTTGTGTATTAAAATAGGATAATAACAGTGTAATGTTTGCATAATCAGACAGGCCAAACTATAATTAAAATTTATTTTGAATAACTCAAATTCAAGTTTACTTAGATTTATTACAAGTAATACAGGGTTTGTTCTAGCTTCTAGGCCTAATGGAATTTGTTTGTGAATGTTTAACAATTAGTGTTACATTTTGATGGTGCACCTACATTATTGCTACACATACGTGGCGTCATGCAATGCGGCGCAATATTATTAGTTGTTACCGTGTCTGTTGAAAACAAAAATCATTCAATTCAATTCAATTCAAATCAACATTTTTACTTAACATTTATTTATCTTGAAGTACAGTATCATCAACATGGAGTATAAAATACAACGTGATATAGTACGTCATCCAATACATCCTAGCTGTTTCTACTAAAAACCTATGTTGTCGAAACTGTCATCAACGGGCGACATAAAATACGGTAACCTTTAAAAGGATTAAATCTATAAGCCCTCAATTTACACTTTCTAATACGGATATTTCAGGAATCACCAGTTAGAAATCGCCGGAAAGATAATCGTTCAATAAGGTATGGCAATCTTAAATTAGAAACACAATAACAACGAATGTAGAAACAAGTAAACATTAAACAGGGGTTATTAAACCTTTGCATCAAAATTTATAACGCCTTCAACATTCATTTGGCAGCTTAATTTTTCCTTTGAAAGTTTTTCAACATCGTTAACAGTTTATCTTGATAATTTCCAGAGTTTATTATGTCGTATCTTTGGCTATCACTTATTTTAGTGGGAACCTTATAATTTGTGATGAAAGATATACATAATGGTGAATATTTATATTGACCCATCATCGTACGGGACGTGCGTGTCACTGACATAAAGGAATTGCTCATGGCCGGCGGAACCGGGGGGCCGGGGATCAGCCCCCCCCCCCCACTTTATTTGCAAAAAATTATGTCTGGAGAGTTTTGTGTGACCGGAAAAATTCTAGACCTACCTTTTCAGGACCCGTGAACTGATTTTTTTTTTTTTTTTTTTTTTTTTTGTTACAATCAGAAAATTAGAATTTTGAAGAACATAAAAGTCATTAAAACACACTTCAAATGTCGGGAAAGCTCATTCCCGCTATCTACGAATTAAAATTTTCCCGGGGGAGAACCCCCGGATCACCCTTTCTTTTGGGATTTATCGATTCATGGAAAAAAAAGGAATACGCATGCAACTACTCATTTATTTATGTAGGCCTATGTATACATACATAAAATAAAAAATGAGAAACATTTACCTGACCATTTTCAGGAGGTTGAAACCTTGAATTTTGAAGAACTTAAAAATTCATTTAAAAGACATTTCAGAATTCAGGGAAGGTCATTTCCCGCATTCTAGAAATCGAAATTTTCCCGGGGGAACCCGGACCCCTTGTTTCTTTGGGGTTCAGTGGTTCTATTGAATCATATTTAAGAGGGGGAAAACCTTGATTTTTTAAGAAATTAGAAGTAATTAAAAAACACCTTATAAGTCGGGAAAGCTCATTTCCGCTTCTAGGAATCTTTCTTTTTGGGATTTTGGGAAAAAATTACCTGAAAGTTTTCAAGAGAGGAAACCTTGAATTTTGTAGAACTTAAATTAAAATCGCTATAAGATACTTCAGAAGTCGGGAAAGCTCATTTCCCACCATTTAGAAATTAACATTTTCCCGGGAAGAACCCGAACTTCCCTTCTCTCTTTGGATTCATTGATTCATTATAATAATTTTCAAGAGGGGAAAACCTTGAATTTTGAAGAACTTAAAAGTAGTTAAAAGACACCTCAGAAGTCACGAAAGCTCATTTCCCGCCTTCTAGGAATCAAAATTTTGTGGAGAACCCCCGGACCCCCCTTTCTTTTTAGGAATTATAGGTTCATGGAAAAAAAATCGTATGCAAATACTTAATATTTTTAATTTACTATATGTATACACACATAAGGCCTGTCTACTGTAATAACAATGGGATAAATTTACCTGACCGTTTTCTAGAGGGGAAAACCTCGAATTTTAAAGAACGTAAAAGTAATTAAGACACCTCAGAAGTCGGGAAAACTCATTTCCCGCCTTCTAGGAATTAAAATTTTCTCGCGGGAGAACCCCCGACCCCCTATCTTTTTGGGATTTATCGATTCATGAAAAAAAAAAAATTCGTATCCAACTACTCATATTTTTTTTTTGTATTTATACACACATAAGGCCTATTTACTGTAATAACAAGTGGAAAATTTACCTGACCGTTTTCAAGAGAGGAAACCTTGAATTTTAAAGAACTTAAAAGTAATTAAAATACACCTCAGAAGTCGGGAAAACTCATTTCCCGCCTTCTAGGAATCAAAAATTTCACGGGGGAAAACCCCCCGGACTCCCCTTTCCTTTTGGGATTTATGGAATCATGGAAAAAAATCGTAAGCTACTACTCAACTTTTTTTATGTATGTATACACACATAAGAAGGCCTGTCTACTGTAATAACAATGGGATAAATATACCTGACCGTTTTCAAAAGGGGAACACCTTGAATTTTAAAGAACTTAAAAGTAATTAAAAGACACCTCAGAAGTCGAGAAAACTCATTTCCCGCCTTCTAAGAATCACAATTTTCCCGGGGGAGAACCCCCGGACCCCCGTTCCTTTTGGGATTTGTGGATTCATAGAAAAAATCATATGCAACTACTCATTTTTTTTATGTATGTATACACACATAAGGCCTATCTACTGTAATAACAGGGATAAATTTACCTGACTGTTTTCAAGAGGGGAAAACTTTGAATATTGAAGAACTTAAAAGTAATTAAAAGACACCTCAGAAGTCGGGAAAACTCATTTCCTGCCGTCTAGATATCAACATTTTCCCGGGGGAGGACCCTCGTATCCCCCTTTTCTTTGCAGCTTATCGATTCATTAAAAAAAGAATACGTATGCAACTACTAATTTTTTATTTTTATGTAGGCCTATGTATAGGCCTACACACATAAGGGCTATTTACTAAACCTTATTAACCTGACCTTTTCAAGAGGTTGAAACCTTCAATTTTGAAGAACAAAGTCATTAGAAACCTAGCTCAAAATTCGAGAAAGGTCATTTACGGCCATCTAGAAATCAAAATTTTCCCGAGGGAGGATCGTACCCCGGATCCCCTTTCCTTTTTGGGAAAAATGTTGACCCCCATCCCCTAGGTTTTTCCAGATCTGCATGATTCATATTCCCATTCATCTTATAAGTGGGCCCCCCCCCCCCACTCTTATAAGGGGCCCCCCCCCCCCACTTTGAAAAACGTTCCGCCGGCCGCCTGATAAACGCGTTTATCACAATTAAATAACAGCGTTCACAACGTTATCTCGCAACCAAAAATGACAACCACTTTATTCTAGAAATTTAATTAACATATTTTATAAAGACCAAACGTACCCAATGCTACACCCGTACAATTAACATAGGTACAATTAAATTTGAACCAATTTATTCAGGTTAATTGTTTTCTTTAACTTTAACACATTAATCTATATGTATAAATCTACGTAGTCACCGTCATCATCCATGCATTTATAATGAGTCTTAGCCACGAATAAAATTTACTGATTCGTCAACAAGCGTCATGTGACAATTTATCTACGCGAACGCGCGCAACCGTTGACCGATTGCCACTTTGCGCCTGTTTTTCGTTGAATGATGTAGGCTATGTGACGTCCATTTTATGAATTCAACTTCTGCTGATACTTTTAGGCTAGAAACCCTAACTTTTAATCTGATCGTATACAATTTTATGAAACTATGGAAGGTAAGTTTATTATTTGATATACATTAGGTTATTGTCTTGTAGAAAAAACACACAATAAAAAACAAGCCAGAGCCGTCGGTAGGCCTAGGGCCAAAGCCTGGCCTGGGGCCGGGGCTAGGAAAACACGTCAAGCAAGCCCTAGGCCTAGGTAGGTAGCCAGAGGGTTGAAAAAGAAAAGTAGGAACAGATTTTCTAGCAAAGGGAGCACAAAGGCGCACTGGGAGTTGAGGGTCTAATGCTCATGCCCTCGGGAAAAAAAATCCGTTTTCTGCAATAGTTTGTTGTTGGTGTTATTTGACGTCTGGTTTTTTTTTTTCCAGTTTTGTGACATTGTTCTATCTAAATACGGATCCTAGCTAGGCCTAGTTCTACAGGTATCCTGTGCTGTAGGCCTAGGCCTAAGTGTGTATTGAACTGCGAGGCATTTAATGACAAATACTCCTTTTCTTAGTTTGAAATCAAGAACAAACCTGGGAATATCATGATAGATGAGGCAAATGTGCCTTGTCTGTCTCATGCTAACGGCCCTGTATTTGCTCTGGTACTGGCACATAGGCCTAATCTAATTATTTTTACTAGGCCTAGTGATTCTTAGGCATGACGTTTTTGTATTTTTCATGAGAAGTTGCTGGCTATAATATTACAGTTAAGATTTCTAAGTCTGCTTTCAGTGTCGGAACAGGTCACAATGTCATTCACAATTTTTGATTGTGCTGAATACTATTTTTGTATTGCCTCTATGACTGCAGCTCATTTGTGGATTCTATATTAATTGTTTATTAACTTTACTTTAATTAATATTTTTTGGTTGATGCCATTAATTGATAAATATATGTTTACTTTTAGTTACCAATGACATGAGGGAATAAAGTTCAACAGCATTTAGGCAAGTCCACCGTTCTTCTGTAAAGGCACCCTGTATGTATAATTAAATACGGTAAGTACATCACTTCACTTCACAAAACAATACTAAAACTCATCCTACATGTAGAATATTAATATAAAAAGCAAAAAAGGCCGACTGTAGATTAAATTGACACATTTATGTGTTCACTTTTTACAGAAACTTAAGCAAGTTTGTAATGAAGAAGATGTAGTTGCCAGAAGAGATGACAACGATGAGGACGACAGCAATATTATGTGAATGCGTTTGATTTGTAGCACATCCTCTTTATTGGTTCTGATACAACATTCTACTTTGCCAATGGTTCCATTGTGACAGAACAGCTATGAATTTCCTCTGTCAAGGCTTGATTCAGAGAGAGTGCAGCCATCTGCTTTTCTCAATATCCAAGATTTTTAAGTGTGCACTATGGAGTTTTGTACACTAGGCCCCTTGTTTATTTTTGATATTTCTTTGACATTTTAAAAATCAATTGAACTTGCCAAATACTGACTGAAATAACTGTACTTACAGAAATAGTATAGAATTGTCAGCACTTGACTCCAACTTGATTTTGATTTATTATTTTTTTGGATATTGATTATTGTATATCCTTTTGTCCTATATTGAAATGGGGCTTTTGCTAATTTACGGTAAAATTAAGTACAGTACAGGACGCATTAAATATTAAAGGATAAACACATAACGCTACATAATTGTAAGTAATTTTGTATTGTTGACCTCTTTTGTCCCAGAGCATCAAAGTTAACACGATGTAGTTGGAATCCTACATGTGACCAGAGGCCGACCTAAGGATATCCACGGTTCAGTGTACAGCCTTTGTTCAAAGTTTTGAAAACGTCTTGGAACACCGATCAAACTCAAAAGTTTTACCGTTATTTTGATGTTTTTAAACGTTTTTAAAGCATTCTTAAAGGTGCTACAATACCAAAGTCAATGTAACTAGAGTTAAAAATTACTCTAGTTACATTGACTTTGGTATTGTAACACATTTTAAGAATGTTTTAAAAACGTTTAAAAACATCAAAATAACGTTATAATAACGTTTCTGAATGTTAAATTGAAACGTTAATAAAACGCTTTAAAAACTCCACATAATTACGTTTTTAAAACGTAATATTATAACGTTTTACAAACGTAATAAAAACCCTTTGTAAACCTTTTTAAAACGTGATACAAGGCCAAAGTCGATGTAACCAAAGGTTATTATTACGTTATAATAACGTTTTTAAAACGTTACATTAAACGTTATTTAAACGCTTCCAAAACTCTACAAAATTACGTTTTCGAAACGTTTTACTAAAACGTTTTTTGAACCAAACTCATACGTTTTTTTAACGTTAAATTGTTAGCTGTGACGAGCCCACACGCGCCTCCAAGGCTCTCGGTTTGATTACGAGATAACGAAAGCTCTTAAAGCTCTCTAATGACTCAGGCTACAGTCACACTAGAGTTTCAAGCCTGGCTTGACTCACCGCGGGTGTGATTTTCGTAATGTGACCGTATCTGCACCGACTCGCGCCTGGCGTGACCTCGATCTCAATCTACCTATCTCGATCCCGGCTCAGCACCGTTCTTGAATAAAAACACCCGCGAGTTCTTCATGTTTGTTCAATCAAGACGCAATCATTACTTTTCATAAAAGTTAATTCAAATTTTAATTAATAATAATGCGATTGATTTGGAGCGACTAGGAAACTGCTGACCTGGTAGATTTGTGGGGCCAACCCGAGCTCTGCTGTTTCGACTTTCATAATTTGGAGGTCAATCCAACTAGTGTGACCGACCCAGAATTTCGAGCCTGGCTTGAAATCTCACCCGCGTTGAGTCAAGCCAGGCTTGAGACGCTAGTGTGACCGTAGCCTCAAGTTACTGCATGAGAGTTTCATATTTTTAATAAAACTAATTTCTTCTAATTTTATTTAGAATTTTAGAATTCGTGATTATACGTTATCATGCCTAGACTTACTAAATGCTTGGCAAATATATGATCACACATGTGTTTCTGAAAAATGCGTGTTACATCCAAAATCACTTTAATGCTTAGTAGTGTACGGCATAGTTACCAGCCGTCTCGCATTGTGCGAGACGGTTGGTAACTATGCCGTAAGGTCAAATGTACGTATGCCAACATAACAATCCTAGGCATGAGTAGTTCCACGGGGGCTTGTCCAAGACACCTCTTCTGAATCCGCCACTGCTGTATTTAATAAAATGATATAATACTAATCAATTTAATATGTTTATTTTGTAGAAACAACTTCTCAGGATCCTCCTCTGAATAACTCCAGGGATATGTCAATTGTTTTTGGGATCATTGGAATACTTGGTGTAGCTGTGGTATTGCTGTATTGTGGATACTCGAAATTGAAAAAAATCGAAATTTTCATGACGTTTCCTGAACCTAAATTCCCTAAAATTGTAAGAGCTTATATTATTAGATTCGCCTGTATGTATCTATATAAATTGTGTTGTGTTATACATATTACATATATTTATATGTTACATATTATATATGTTTATGCATATATAATATATAAATATATTTTTTTCTATTGCAGAATTTCCATAATGTAAATTCTCTGGTTCGTGAAAGTGAAACTTTTGATGAGTTATGCGTTAGGAAGACTGCGGTCACCATATCGAAACGAACGTGTAGTACAGATATAGATATCAATAAGCTGACTCCAGAAATATTTAGAGATGGCTGTCATTCATATCTGAAGAACCTTGAAACTGAAAGTACCACTGAGATCACTGTACATTTTCCCGAAGATAAGGATGAACTCTTAGATGGTCCAGTGGTGTACCGTATTCTTAGTAAAAAGAAATCAGACGTCCCGCCAGTTGAGAATGAGAATTTAATATCCGAGTCAAATGTTAATTGCATTGGACTTGGTGCAGTTATGTGTATTGAGTCTCCAGATTCTTCAAAGATCATTAGAGATAAAACTGCCGTGCCAATTAAGAAAAATGGTTATTGTTCCATGCCTCCAGATCGATCTTTTGGCCAGAAAGTTATGACGCCGTGCTCAGACGGAGGTACATTTGTGTACCCAGATTGTGAATATATAGTTCGATGCTTAGATCATGGAGACATCGTTCCACGTCCAGAAAATGTAGCTCAAGTCTCAGACCATACAAGAACTGTTCCATACTTAAAACATGGAAGTACAGCTCCTAGCCTTGACGACGGGTGTGATGTGGCTTCATCCTCAAATCATTTAGGCATAGATTCACCCTTGAAACAAGATACAACTCCTTCAATTTCAGACCACAAATGCATGGCTCCACTCTCAGAGCTCAATGTGGATTCATGTTCAGATTATCAGTGTATTACTACCAAACCTATCAAATTGCCAGTCACTCGTCCGAAAGAAAACAATAATAGTGATTATGTTACAGTGACTCATCACACATTAAATGTAATTGAACAACGCGATAAACCTATTCAGTGGCGTAACGCTGGGGCGGGGGGTCATGTGCCTTTCTGAGCCTGGGGGCTTTTCTTTTAGTCTCGCCGATCGCCTTTTCAATGGCGGACTTTCAGAGTTGCTCGTTTTTAATCATGTTTGTCATTGTGTCCTATTCTTAACGACAAAATAAATAATGTCATTCCAGTGGCGGATCTACAGTATTTGAAGTAGAGGGGCCACAGGGAATCAGTTTCACTGATTGAGGGTCTGTACCACCTCAGCCCCACCATGGCTGGGACTGAGGTATGAAAATGTATGATTATAGCGCACCACTAGATGGTCGGAAATGACACTCACTTAAAATTTGAATATATTTTTCGTTTTATCTCCATTTGTTTTAATTTTGGCAAATTAGGAGAAGCCTGGGATCGAACGGTTGCAGATGGGCTTCTTTTAATCCGCCACTGAATATAATATGATATATGTACTGCAGTCGATGTCAGAGACATGCTGTTATATCAACGAAGCCATTTTTGGGTCAGAGTGCTAGATCGAGGACACTATAGGTAAACCCCCCTTTAGGGCCCTAGAGGTTGCGGGTGCCCTGCGGACCGTCGCATGAGAGTGCATAGGCGTTACGCCATTTGACGTACTAAGCTAACTGTGTATAAGGCCAGGTTACTTATTTGGTTTTATATACGTGATTGTAGAGAGACGAAAGCAATAGCTTATACGCCCATCCACAGTAATTGCTTCGTCGTGTCATATAAAAGGTTGGTATAAGCACAAGGGGTGATTGATATGAGCTTTTGCAAGAGCGGATTTGAATTGGTTTACAAGGTCTACCCTAACACAATTATTTGGAGGAGTGGGGCCAGGGAGCCTATCCTCCCATGGTGGTGGTGGTGAAAAATCACAATTCGTCGGGGATACAAAAAAAATATATATGTATTTGTATTTAAAATCCGTTCAAAGAAGAATTTGAAACCCATAAATTGTCATATTTTCCCTTGACCACTACGGGAATATTTTGAATGATACCCACCGAACACGCCCACTTTACTCGGTCATCTTCGCCCCAACCCCGTCGGGGACATCGGATTCCCCGTCTGGCAAATCCTGGCACCACTCCTGTTTATTGTGCATTCCTTTCATTTACCGAACGAACAGGAGCACACCCCAAATATTAATTTACTAAAGCGCTGCTTACAAGTTTTTTTTGTGACAAAATAGTATTTTTTTTATTAAGTTTTGTAGGACAAAATTGCGAAATTCCCAAACGGTGTCTGGTAGTGGTCGAGAGTTCTAACAACATGCTGGCAACCTCGGCTGACATGCTTAGATACACCGCGGCTTCACTGTTAACGGGCTAAGTGCGAATATTTCTTATAAACGCAAATAAAAACGTAGCATAGGCCATATATCCAGGATGTGCCTCCTAATATTTAGTGTCAATCCATGGTGGGATGTGCGTGTGGGGACCAATTAAAGTGATTTAAGGTCAAACAGTATACACCGGATATTTCAAAAACCGGTCAGTTGATATTACATGTTATTATTGTAGAATTGTAGAAGGGCAGACGTCATTCTAATATAAATAAAATATGCTAAACCATAGTGTCTATGAACTAACGATTAGAATGATATACATGTTATTTAACTGTCTCAAAGATATCACTGAAAATTTGCTTGAATATATTGAAATAACTGTATTATTATTATTATTAATTTATTATTGTTATTATTATTAATTTATTATTATTATTGTTAAATGTTATAATAATAATAATAATAATAATTATTATTATTATTATTATTATTATTATTATTATTATTATTATTATTATTATTATTATTTTTGTCTTCTCCCAGCAGTACTGGGAAAGCCATTGTTTTTGTTCTGATTTTTGTTCTTTTTTTTCTTGCATATATTTTTTTCTATCTTTTTGCACTGTTTTGTTCTGGCTGTCACTTTCGTCACTTCCATGAATTTTTCCATGCTTTGCCGTAGCATAGGCAATATATCCAGGATGCGCCTCCTAATATTTAGTGTCTATTCATGGTGGGGTGTGCGTGTGAGGACCAATTAAAGAGATTTAAGGTCAAACAGTCTACACCGGTCAGTTGATGTGAATGAAACTTACGGGGAAGTTTAATCAAATTACAAGAAAGAAAGTGTTATGTGTTAGTGACGATCCAGTGAAGGGTGTAAATTTGAGGGTCTATTTCATTTTTGAGGACCCAGACCTCAGTATCTCTTTTAAAAAAAATTAAAAAACCAGTGGGTGTGTGACGTAGCATGGGATTTATCCCATGATTCAGTATGGGTTATTCATGAATTTGCTATTTCTAATCATTGGCCAGGCATTCAGGTCAATGACATTGCTCTATTTGATATATTATCATCATTCCATTGATTCGATGTCAGTGATGGTCCTTGTTTTTGGGACTGGTCATCTATCATTTGGCTTGACATGTCAATTGTGAGGACCAAAGGGATCAGTGACCGGGACTAGTTGATAGGTGAGAAGAAATTCAGTGGCGGATTCTGGGGGGTTTAAGGGATTCGCACGAACCACCCTCTGTGAAGAAAATACTATTGGGTCCTGGCTTACAAAAGGCATTACCAACCGTCTCGCATCGCGGTCGTGGTCCCGCATTTCAAAGTGATTTTGGATATTAACACGCATTTGGCAGAAACACATGCGTGATCTTAAATTTGTCACGCCTTTAGTCTACGCATGACGACGAATAATCACGAATTCAGGGAAAATATATTTAAAATTAGAAGAAATTAGTTTTATTAAAAATATAAAATAACCATGCAGTAACTTGTGTCATTAGAGAGCTTTCGTTATCTCGTTTGAGATTCAATTCACCTACCTGGCATAGGTTGGCAGATCGCACAAAATAAGCTTAGCCCAACTAGCATTCAATTATACAATATAAAAACACTGATTTGGCTCGACGTCGTAATAATTTATGTACGAAAGTGTGTTCTTCAGGCCTATCAGTTCATCGATCTTTGGAAGAAAGACTACGTATCCAACTACTTGATAATATTGGAATATAGAATAAATGCCAAGTTGGAAGTAGCTAGAGGCTTGAGATTTAACAGGAAATAAACCCAATTGACGTAAGTTGAGGGCCCGTCCAAGGGCCCGAAAATTGTGGACTTAGATGCTCTCTGGTGCAATCTGATTATCTCTCGTGCTGAAATTAAACCTTCAAAATGTGTAGCTATAACAGAAACGATAGAATTTTCGATGATCTGGGCCTGATAAAATATAGAATTGCGAAGGTTTATAGTATTTCGCTAAAAAGTTTGGGTTTAATCAAAGCTTGATATTTAGTGAAAAGGTGTGAGATTTTAGAGGAGTGGCTTGAGAGCTTGAGGTTTGTTCAAAAAGCGTGGGTTCACGCCGGATGCATGAGACTTGTTATGATATAGGCCTAATAATATATTGATTATATTTTTTATTTATTTTCTTTTTCCTATGGTATAGGCCTAAGAATTAAATAAAATCACCTGACCTTTTGTTTAAGAGGGGTAAAACCTCGAATTTTGAAGAAATTAAAGGTCATTAAAGACACCTCAGAAGTCAGGAAAGCTCATTTCCGGCCATCTAGGAATCAAAATTGTATGGGAACCAAAGGGATGTGGTTAGAATTGGAATGTAGGTCAAATGTTGGGAAATTTCTTTAATAGTATGCTTTGAGGATAGGTTAGGCAGTTGTCACTTGAACACCTAAATGCGTATAACTCCAACCAAGAGTAGACTTAGGTTGTATTATGTTTTCAGAGAAATACACACAGGCGCAATATTGGTCATATCAACATAATATCAATAAAAGCAGGGGTATAGCTATTCATTAGCTATAGCTCAAAAAACTTAAGCTAGCATTAGTAAAGCAATCAAATATCGAAATATATCACTATTATTGGCTATAGCAGATTACATCATAATTATGCTACTTATTGATATTGATATTAGTCTGATGTACCATGGTTCATTATGGGTTATTCATGAATTTGCTATTTTTAATCATTGGCCAGGCATACAGGTCAATGACATTGCTCTATTTGATATATTATCATTCCATTGATTCGATGTCAGTGATGGTCCTTGTTTTTGGGACTGGTCATTTATCATTTGGTTTGACATGCCAATTGTGGGGACCAAAGGGTTCAGTGACCGGGACCAGTTGGTAAATGAGAAGAAATTTTATGGGAACCAAAGGGATGTGGTTAGAATGGAATGTAGATCTAATGCTGGGAAGTTTTTTTATTAGTATGCTTTGAGAAGGCAGTTGTCACTTGGACACCTAAATTGTCACAATTCCAACCAAGTGGGACTTAGGTTGTATTCATATGTTTTCAGAGAAATAACAGCCTGGTGGGACTTGGGCTTTACTTTGTACGAATTTTTACTATATTTCTGAATATTAAATTGCATGTAGAACATTACGCTACCGTCTATGTGTATATCCTTGTGTTTGTGTTTGCTTCTGGACTGAACTACTGGACTTCGTCACAGGGTGTAAATGAAGTATTCTATAATACTTCGTAAAGGTCTTGTAAAAAATTATTAAATTTTTGTCACGACCCGCAGTGTGGTGTGGATCTGAGGACCATTTAAAGAAAAACGTACCAGACCACATATTTCAAAAACGGATCAACTGATCTGAATGAAACATTCGGAAAAATTTTAACCAAGTTACAAAGAAGAAATTATTTTTTGCTGGCGACGAATCAGTCAAAGGTGTAATTTGGAGGGTCATTTCAATTTTTGATTACCCACACCTAAATATCTCTCTTTAAAATATCATTGGGTATAATTTAGACCTTGTATAACAGTTTGTCAATGTCGAGTAAAGAACTTATTAATTTTTGTGACGATCCGGAGTAGGGTGTAGATCTGAGGATCATTGAAAGGAAAACGTCCCAGACCACATATTTCGAAAACGGATTAACTGATATGAATGAAGCATTCGGGAAAAGTTTAACAAAGTTACGATGAAGATAGTATTATGTTTTGGCGACGAATCAGTCAAGGGTGTAAACTGGAGGGTCATTTAAGTTTTTGAGATCCCAGACGTAAATATCCATTAAAAAAAATTTTCAAAGGGTGTAAATGAAAATGTCTATAATAGTTTGTAAATGTCCAATAAATAAATTACTGAATTTATGTGATGATCTGGCGTAGGATGTGAATATGAGGACCATTAAAAACGAAAATGTGCTAGACCAGATATTTCATAAACGGATCAACTGATCCGAATAAAACTTTCGGGAAAGTTTAACCCAAGGAACATATTTATTATGTGTAGGAGACGATCCAGGTTAGGGTGTAAAATTAAGGGTCATATAAATTGCTTACGTCCCAGTTATATATGGATAAAAATGGCACTTTGCAGCATAGTTTTTAATGGTGAAATGAAAAATGATCCAATTTTGGTGACGATCCGCAGTAGGATGTGGATATGAGGACCATTTAAAACAATTTTGTTGACAGTTAATTAAATTATTTGAACGCAATTTGCGTTTTCTGAAGCACTTAAACCAATAACAGCTAGGTTAAACTCAAAACTACCGCGATATGCATGAACGATTTTAGCTTTCAGTCACTGAATCGCTATGAAATGAAAATGCACTTTCCTATATAAGGCGGGTCATATGGCGCGCAAGGGTTATGAGTCACGATGTAACTCGCTATTACCATTGCAGTCATGGTTCAAGTGTCACTAATAACGTCGCAGTGAACTTGGTTTTTGGTTGTTTTTTTTTCCACTTCATTAAAGTTTTTTTTTTTAAAATTTTTTTTTTTTTTTTTTTACTTTATACCTTCTAACGACTTTTCTTTTTGTTGCAATTTCAACTTCAATTCTCATTAAAGATGTATTGTCCCTTGCTAATGTCAAAAAATCTTTTTTTTTTTTAAATTGAAGAGAAAAAGTTTGAAATAAACTTGCTCAAGTTGATAACTTTTATGTTACTTCAAAATGGGCAAGTTAAATTCAAAAAATACTAAATAATATTTTTTTTCGATATTTAGCATGGGACAAAATACATATTTAAAGCAATGGGGAAAAACCCTAAGTTTTGTGTTCAAACAGACATAGTAAGTCATCATTCTCAAACCCTAAGTTTTGTGTTCAAACAGACATAGTAAGTCATCATTCTCATTATTACTATAATTATCATAATTATAATAATAAAAACTCATAGGGTAAAATCCCTTACACAAGACAAACATACACAAGATAAGTTCTACATAGACTAAGATTCATTAGGCTCTCAAACTTTCACGACGTACAGTATATATACTGTCTCTTATACACATCTAGATGTGTATAAGAGACAGACATTGCTCTATTTGATATATTATCATCATTCCA